TAAGAATGGCAAAGCAGCTGGCTGGATGATCTACGGATGGAACAAATCAAGAACTTTGGTCCAAAAGCAAGGCGCTGGCTGCTGGAGCTGATGAACAACTGCACGGCATCCTGTCAGATCCCCAAAATCTGGAGGAAAGCAAGAGTCATCGCCATCTTGAAGCCAGGCAAAGACCGTAATGACCCAAAAAGCTACAGACCAATCTCCCTGTTGTGCCACCTCTACAAAGTTCTGGAGAGACTTGTTTTGCATAGAATTACGGAAAAAACAGACCCCTGTCTGATCCCACAGCAAGCTGGCTTCAGAAAAGGCAAAAGCTGCACATCGCAAGTGCTGAACCTGACTCAACACATAGAAGATGGCTTTGAAAGGCAGCAGATCACAGGAGCTGTCTTCATAGACCTGTCAGCAGCCTATGAGACTGTGAACCACCGCCTCCTCCTGAGAAAAATGTATAATATCACAAAGGACGACCACCTCACCCGCCTCATAGGAAACCTGCTACAAAACAGGAGCTTTTTTGTTGAGTTCCAGGGCCAGAGAAGCAGATGGCGGAAACAGAAGAACGGCCTGCCTCAGGGGAGCGTGCTTGCTCCATCCATGTTCAACATCTACACAAATGACCAGCCACTGCCAGAAGGGACAGAGAGTTTCATCTATGCTGATGATCGTGCCATTACCACTCAAGCAGGGAGCTTTGAGATGGTAGAACAGAAGCTCTCCGAAGCTCTAGGTGCTCTTACTGCCTATTACAGGGAAAACCAGCTGATCCCTAATCCATCCACAACACAGGCATGCGCCTTTCACCTTAAGAACAGACAAGCATCCCGAGCTCTGAGGATTATTACCTGGGAAGGAATCCCACTGGAGCATTGCAGCACACCCAAATACCTGGGAGTCACTTTGGACCGTGACTACAAGAAGCACTGCCTGAACATCAAACAAAAAGTGGGTGCTAGAAACAACATCATACGAAAGCTGACTGGCACAACCTGGGGATCACAACCAGACACAGTGAAGACATCTGCCCTTGCGCTATGCTACTCTGCTGCTGAGTATGCATGCCCAGTGTGGAACACATCTCACCACGCTAAAACAGTGGATGTGGCTCTTAATGAGACATGCCGCATTATCACAGGGTGTCTGTGCCCTACACCACTGGAAAAATTACACTGTCTAGCCCGATATCGCACCACCTGACATCCGCCGGGAAGTAGCAGCCAATAGTGAAAGGACCAAGGCAGAGACATCTCCAGCTCATCCCCTGTTTGGGTATCAGCCAGCACGTCAACGACTTAAATCAAGACATAGTTTTCTTAGATCTACAGAGACACTCGCTGGAACACCCCAGCAAGCGAGAGTCCAAAAGTGGCAGGCCTAAACCCAGCACCTCAATCCATGGCTGATACAAGATGAGAGACTCCCCCCTGGGCACTCAGAAGACTGGGCGACTTGGAAGGCGCTGAACAGACTGCGCTCTGGCACCACGAGATGCAGAGCCAATCTTAAGAAATGGGGCTACAGGGTGGAATCCTCGGCATGCGAGTGCGGAGAAGAACAAACCACTGACCACCTGCTGCAATGCACCCTGAGCCCTGCCACATGCACAATGGAGGACCTTCTTGCAGCAACCCCAGAGGCACTCCAAGTGGCCAGATACTGGTCAAAGGACATTTAACCAAATACCAAATTTGCAAAATCTGTGTGTTTTTTTTTCCTTTTTCTTTTTAATCTGTGTGTTTGTTTTGCTCTGTTAGAATTGTAATACAATGGTTGCTGATGACACGATAAATAAAATATTATATATTTTGGTCCACTCTGGCCCAATGACCTCATTTGACTACATAACCTACCCACAACGTTTTGTGCACCCTGGCTAGTTTTTGCACACTAATGTGAATGTTTTTATTTATATTTATGTTATTATATAATTTTAAGTTTAATTTGCTGATGTTAGGCTTTAATTTGAGGTTAGGTTTTAATGTTACTTTCATATTTGGGGTTTTTTTCCCGGGATTTTATGTTCATATCGTGTGTGTCAGGTCCCGGCAGATTTTAGAATACAACCACGCTCACAAGGAGGCTCCTTGGATGCACATTTATTATTCAGTTTTACCAGGAAGGAACGAAAGCTAGTTCTGACGGTTTCCTGCCAAAGCCGTGGTCTATGACCCGTGATCTCTTTCCCACTCCCCCTCCTTCTCTTGTTTCCGGCCACATCCCATTCCCAGAGGACACAGCGCATCTTCCCCGGGGTCTCCCCCTTTCTGCCCTGATCAGGCCTTCCCTATTTCACTCCCATGTCAGGAGGAGGATTTCAGCTCTCTGTTGACTTACGCTCACAGAACACCATCCTGACTCTGTGTTTTAGGCAGGCACCAAATGTTTGCCATTGCTATTTATTTGCTTATTTAGCCGTATTTATATTCTGCCCTTCTCACTCAGGATGGAGCACAATGCACACATACACAATGCAAACATTCAATGCCGTTTTTGACATGCAAGACAGACAGGTCATTCAGGAATTTCTTCTACTTTGGATCCTGGAGGTTGCTCAATGCGGCCACAGGGAAGTTGTCGCTTTGTCCACTATGACACCAGGTCTTTCAATCGTAGCATTTCCTCCTTGCTCTCCGGCATTTTTATGGTGTCATAAATTAACCTCCCCACTTTAAGCAGTCCTTAATTTCTCTACTCACAGCACAGCTGCTTAGGTGAAGAGTAAGCTGGGCTATTTAACAGTCAGGAGCTCAACCCTGACTTGGGCTTAGAACTTGCCACCTTTCGTTTGGCAGTGATTTATTGTAGGTGATTAACCAGTTGTGCTATCATGTTGGAATCTGCCCTAAGTCCCCTCAGTGTGTGTGAGAGAGAGATAGGGTGGAACGCAAGATTATTATTATTATTATTATTATTGTGGAACCATGTTAGTGAACTAATTCTATTGTATCTCTTTCAAGCCATGGCAGGGGGAGAGGATCATTATAGATATCCTTTGCATAGGAAGGAAGTGAAGTAAGAGAAGAAAGTACATCTTCTCTAACAAGAGTAATAATAATAATATTTTATTTGTATTCCGCTCTATCTCCCCGGGGCGCTCGGAGCAGAATAACAGATGATCCTTCAGAATCTGCATCGATTTCTTTTATCAATGCAGGGTTGTGGAGCAGATAGTTAGTAGCCAGCTGCATTAAATCACTACTGACCGAGAGGCCACAAGTTTGAAGCCAGCCCGGGTTGGCATGAGCTCCCAACCATTAATAGTCTAGCTTGCTGTTGACCTATGCAGCCCGAAAGACAGTTGCATCTGTCAAGTAAGAAATTTAGGTACCGCTTTATGCGGGGAGGCTAATTTAACTAATTTACGACACCATAGAACCTTCCAGCAGCATGTAGAAGAATGAGGAAGTACTCCATCAAGGTCTGAGTGAGGCCGGAAAGATGGAATGTTAAGTTGCCTCTGAGTCGGTCTATATATGTTGTATGTCTAATGGAATTGAATGTTTGCCATGTATATGTGCATTGTGATCTACCCTGAGTCCGCTTCAGGGTAAGAAGGGTGGAATATAAATACTGTAAGTAAATAAAGAATATCTTCTATTGTCCCTCTTTTCTTAAATAAACAAATAATAACTGCGAGATCTCACAACCTCTGAGGATGCTTGCCATAGATACAGGCGAAACGTCAGGAGAGAATGCTTCTATAACATGGCCTCCCCGGTGGCACAGCAGGTTAAACCGACCTTGGAATTGTCTACAGACCACGCCAGCCCTTCAGCTCAGGAATGGAGATGAGCGCAGAGTCCCAGAGTCGGACACGACTGGACTTCATGTCAGGAGAAAACCTTGACCGTTACCCTTATCTTAACCTCCAGGATGCCAGTTAAACGGAATTATCTGTCAGAGTGAAACCCTTGGGGTCTATGCACAGCGGAATTGAGGTTACCAGATCACACAGACGCAAAACAGGACTAACTGCAGATTTCAGTTCCAAAAATAACAAAGTTTACTTAGCACATCTTAAGACAGGTCTACTTCAAGCGGACTACATCATGAACACTACAAAGCACAGCACACAACAGTTCTCAGGCCATCTGCTTATCTCATTTCTCAGGCTGGCTGGATCCTCCCTTTTTCTTCCCAGGCAGGAAAAAATCTTATCTAACTTCTGTCAAGGTCTTTACTCTTTCTGCCCCTAGCAACAACAATTCTAGCATACAACTGAACATAACTGAATCCATTTGGAATACATATGAACATCATTGTTAAACATATTGAAACACATTGAAAAACATACATGCATACTTTCAATAATCCTGACATTATCATGTCACAAAACGATGTATGTCGAAAAAGGGTATCAGCAACATGAAAAGTTTGCTCTCTTAGAGAGTGTCTCTGGGGCCAGATACCACTGTTCCCTCCAATGTGAATGCTATGTCTACGTAGAGTTCAACTCTCCAAGAAGCTCTTTTCACATGCCGTAGGGTTTCTCCCCAGGGTGAGTTCACTGATGTGAACCTAGACCTGATCTGCGGCTGAAGCTTTGTAAACACTCCAGGCATGTCTAGGGTTTCTCCCCAACGTGAATCCTTTGAAGTGTATGTATACTTCCATTCTGAGTGAAGCTCTGTCCACACTCCAGGCATGCACAGGGTTTCTCCCCAGTGTGAGTCCTCAGATGTGTGTGTAGATCTCCACTCAGGGCAAAGCTTTGCCCACACTTCAGGCATGTATAATATAGGCTAATTTATTTGTACTCCACTGCTGCTATGGTACATGAGAAAGAACAACCATAGTAGCATTTTAGGTATTTTAATCGTTTTGTCAACATCTATGTTTCAATTGTTAATTATGTTATCAGTATAATTATGTTTATTGGATTACTCATATTTTGTTTTTTATGCTGATGTTAACTTTTCTTTTGTTATAAGTTTATGTTATTATTTTGTTTTATTTTTAAGATTTTTAGTATTCACATAGGGCATTGAATGTTTGAATTTTGTTTTTGTGTAAACCTCCCTGAGTCCCCATGGGGAGAGACGGCGGTCTATAAAAAAGGTTTTATTGTATTATTATAGTATATATATTATTTCCCCCCAATGTGAGTCCTTTGATGTGAACGTAGATGATCATTCCGAGAGAAACTCTTTCCACACTCCAGGCATTTAAAGGGTTTCTCCCCAGTGTGAATCCTCTGATGTGATCGTAGATTTCCATTCTCAGTGAAGCTCTCTCCACACTCCAGGCATTTATAGGGTTTTTCCCCAGTGTGAATCCTCTCATGTCTACGTAGGTTTTTACTCCAAGAAAAACTCTTTCCACACTCCAGGCATTTAAAGGGTTTCTCCCCAGTGTGAATCATTTGATGTCTATGTAGAGTTGACCTCTGAGAGAAGCTCTTTCCACACTCCAGGCATTTAAAGGGTTTCTTCCCAGTGTGAGTCCTTTGATGTGAACGCAGATCTGCACTCCGACTGAAGAACTGTCTACACTCTAAGCATGTATAACGTTTCTCCCCAGTGTGAGTTCTTTGATGCGAATGTAGATGTGAATTCTGAGTGAAGCTCTTTCCACACTCCAGGCATTTAAAGGGTTTCTCCCCAGTGTGAGTCCTTAGATGCGATCGTAGACTTGAACTGGCAGTGAAACTCTGCCTACACTCTAGGCATTTATATGGTTTCTCCCCAGTGTGAATCATTTGATGTCTATGTAGAGTTGACCACTGAGAGAAGCTCTTTCCACACTCCAGGCATTTAAAGGGTTTCTCCCCAGTGTGAGTCCTTAGATGTGCATGTAGATTTCCCCTATGAGTGAAGCTCTCTCCACACTCCAGGCATTTATAAGGTTTCTCCCCAGTGTGAATCCTCTGATGTGAACGTAGAGTTCCATTCTCAGTAAAGCTCTGTCCACACTCCAGGCATTTATAGGGTTTCTCCCCAGTGTGAATCCTCTGATGTGAACGTAGATTTCCCCTATGAGCGAAGCTCTGTCCACATTGTAGGCATGTATAGGGTTTCTCCCCAGTGTGAATCCTCTGATGTGAACGTAGAAGTCCATTCGCAGTGAAGCTCATTCCACACTCTAAGCATTTAAAGGGTTTCTCCCCAGTGTGTGTTCTTTCATGTCTACGTAAAGCTCCATTGTCAGTGAAACCCTGTCCACACTCCAGGCATGTATAGGGTTTCTCCCCAGTGTGAATCCTCTGATGTGAACGTAGAAGTCCATTCTCAGTGAAGCTCATTCCACACTCCAAGCATTTAAAGGGTTTCTCCCCAGTGTGTGTTCTTCCATGTCTACGTAAAGCTCCATTGTCAGTGAAGCTCTGTCCACACTCCAGGCATTTATAGGGTTTCTCCCCAGTGTGAATCCTCTTATGTCTACGTAGAGTTCCATTCTCAGTGAAGCTCATTCTACACTCCAGGCATGTATAGGGTTTCTCCCCAGTGTGAGTCCTCTGATGTGAACGTAGACTTGAATTCTGAGTGAAGCTCTGTCCACACTCCAGGCATTTATAGGGTTTCTCCGCCATATCAACAGTAATAAGGGTGTTTAATTGCAATACAGATACTTGACTCCTTTTTTCTTTCTTATCTGTGAGGTCAAGAATTCTGCAAGATCATCATCTTGAGAGGATTTCTTCTTACATTATCCGTTTATTACTGCATTCAAGAGGGGGATCCATAGAATCCTCATTTACCTGGTTACAAAAGAAGTGAAAAATTATTATTATTATTATTATTATTATTATTATTATTATTATTATTATTATCCGGCCCTCCAACAGTTTGAGGGACTGTGTAAACAGTTTGAGGGCCCCTGGGTTAGAGGGTGTAATTTCTCCCGTGGTGTTGGGCGCAGACACCCCGTGATGATGCGGCAGATTTAGAGGTGGTCTGATTTGTTGTCTCTGCAACACGAAAAATATAATTGTCCATGTGAGAAGCAATCCATGTCTAGATGTAAACCTCAGAATTCTAAAGATTGCCCGTGAGCATGAATATAGATAGAGAGATCGATGGAATGAATTGGTATAGAATTGATAGAGTGCCACTTTGGGAGTTTCCTGTGCAAACCGAAAAAGAAGGCTGAAATGTGCTTCGGGGAATGGAGTGCCCAACCCCACCGGTATTCAAATTTGGGCAGTGAAGGTCATTGCCACCTGGAAACCCATGTCCTCAATGCGGAAGAACATGCGGGTCAAGACTAGGGCTCCACAGCCATCTGCTGGGCCGGGTAAATGACCTTGGGAGGGCTGTACCCGGCCCTTAGTTTGAGGACCCCTGGTCTAGCCGGTATTGCACCACCTGACATCCGCCAGGAAGTAGCAACTGACAGTGAAAGGCTCAAGGCAGTGACATCTCCAGCTCATCCCCTGTTTGGGTATCAGCCAGCACGTCAACGACTTAAATCAAGAAATAGTTTTCTAAGATCTACAGAGACACTCGCTGGAACACCTCAGGAAGCGAGAGTCCAAAAGTGGCAGGCTCAAACCCAGAACCTCTACCAATGGCTGATACCCCCCGGGCACACAGAAAACTGGGCGACTTGGAAGGCGCTGAACAGACTGCGCTCTTGCACCATGAAATGCAGAGCCAGCCTTAGGAAATGGGGCCACAAAGTGGAGTCCACGACATGCGAGTGTGGAGAAGAGCAAACCACAGACCACCTACTGCAATGCAACCAGAGCCCTGCCACATGATGCACCATGGAGGACCTTCTTATGGCAACACCAGAGGCACTCCAAGTGGCCAGCTACAGGTCAAAGGACATTTAACAGAATGCCAAGTTTGCAAACTTTGTGTTTTGTTTGTTTGTTTGTTAATGCAACACAACTGTTTGGTTAGCACCTCACACGATAAATAAATATCCCTAAATCTGCACAGACAAAGGCATAACAGTCAATATTGTATACCCACAAGCATTGTGAAATCACATCTATTAGAAGCCTGCTCTTTCTCTTCCCTCTCCCTCCCATTTGACCAGACTAGGCCACAGGCCCTTCCTAAGGGGAAGATGGGCTCATTCCCAGGATTCCAAGGGAAATGCCTTTCCGTGAGGCCGCCCTGAGTCCCCTTTGTGGGGAGGAGGAAGGCCGGGGAGAAATGAAATGAAATAAATAATAATCAATAAATGCCATTTCCATTTAGGAGTCTGCAATTCCCAATTCGACTGGTGTTTGCAATCACCATCAACAAAGCACAAGGCAAATCAACAGAATTGTGCGGTTCCGATCTAGACACAGATGGTTCTCACATGGACAATTATATGTTGCATGTTCTAGAGTGGGGAAGCCAGACAACCTCTACATCTGAAGTATTATGAAATTACATATATTAGAAACCAACTCTTACTCTTTTCTTTCTTCTCCATTGAACCAGATTGGGACACAGCAACACGTGGCCGGGTACAGCTAGGACACAAGATAGTGAGCGAATACTCCAGAGAACAGGACCAGGATTCAAAGTGACCACAACAGACTAGAGAGCTAAATGGCCAAAACTAAGAAGATGAATGTCAGAAAGGAGAAATGTAAGATACAGGATGGGTGAAGCCTGGCTAAATAACAGAGGTACACACGAAAGGGATTTTGGAGTCTTCATGGCCAACAAGGTGAACGTGAGCCAACAGTGCGATGCAGCAGCCAAAAGAGCCAGTGAGACAATGATTTCTATGAGCAGAAAGAGGGAGTAGCCATGGGGAGGGAGCCCTCTCAGCCCCGTCATTGCAAACTTCTACATGGAACACTGGAAACAGCAACAAAAAGCTCACATATGTGGATGACTCCTTCACCATTTGGAGCCATGGAGGAGGAGAACTCAACACATTCCTGAACCTCCTGAACAGCATCCGCTCAAACATCCAATTCACCAAGGAAAAAGAAAATGAAGGAGAACTGCCATCTCTAGACGTCCCAGTCATCCACAAACCAGATCAACAATTGGGTCACAGAGTTTACAGAGAACGTACACACACGGATAGATACGGACATCAAAGCTCCAACCATCACCCAAGTCAAAAAAGAAGCACCATGAAAGCCCCAGAAGGCAATGCAAAAAGAAATCTGCAAAGCCCTCCCCCTCCAAGGAGAACGGAAGAACCTCAACTGGGCTTTGGGGGCCAAAGGAGACTCCACCACAGGTTCAGAAGAGCTGCAAGACAACCGAGAACAAGCCAAGAGAGTCAAGACCAAGATCCTCCCAGAGGAAAAGGCTTCTTGCCAGACATCAAGGGAACCACTGGCCACAAAGAGAAGCTGATGAGGAAGCAACCTACAAACTATCTCCAGACCCACCAAGGAAATCCAACTAGTGCTCCGTTCAGCAAAGGACAAGAGGGACCCTCTCACCTTGGCAGGAGCCTACTGTATGTCAGAGTTTTATATTGTTTAGATCATTTCTTAAGTGAAAAATGGGTAAGTGATTGCAAGAATCATGTCCAGTCATTGTATGACCAGCAACAGTCAAGCCACCTGTGAAAGCTTAGCTATTACAAATTAAGAGACTGAGAATGTAGAGAGTAGAGTAGAGAAGAGAATGAGCAGAGAATGCTGATGGTGATGAGAGACTCTGATGAGAGCAAGGAAGAGGAATAGATTCCTGTAAAACCTTAAGGAAGGTTTGCTGGAATATTGGGATCAATGGATTGAAACTTTTATTGCTGACTATTGCATAAACATTTACTTTATTGGAAGAAAGTTTATCTTCTGTGGATTGTATTCTTCTTCTCAACGGGGCGCAGCTTCCATGGAGGGGGTTTGAATGTTTGAAGTCAACCCCAACTATAAAGCAGCAACATCATAGCTGCGACACTGTATACCATGCAGAAGTGGACAATCATAGAATCAAAGAGTTGGAAGAGACCTCATGGGCCATCCAGTCCAACCCCCTGCCAAGAAGCAGGAATATTGCATTCAAATCACCCCTGACAAATGGCCATCCAGCCTCTGCTTAAAAGCTTCCAAAGAAGGAGCCTCCACCACACTCCCTCTGGGGCAGAGAGTTCCACTGCTGAACGGCTCTCACAGTCAGGAAGTTCTTCCTAATGTTCAGATGGAATCTCCTCTCTTGCAGTTTGAAGCCATTGTTCCATTGCGTCCTAGTCTCCAAGGAAGCAGAAAACAAGCTTGCTCCCTCCTCCTCCCTGTGGCTTCCTCTCACATATTTATACATGGCTATCATATCTCCTCTCAGCCTTCTCTACATTGATGTTGCTGTTCATTCGTTCAGTCGTTTCTGACTCTTTGTGACATAAACTTTGTGACATAACTTTGGTCCCCCCAGCACCAACTGTCACTCTGGGCCAGAGCGAAGAGAGGGGGGCCAGGGGACAGCTCCACCTTGTCTCCTGTGCTATTCTAATAATATGTTATAATATAATATATAATATATTGTATATACATATAATATTTATAATATTGTAATGTATTGCAATATAATACTACTACTAATAATAATAATATGATATTATAATTATATATTTATATTACATGTAATATTACTAATAATATTACAGTATAATTGATATAGTGCAATATAGCAATATTTAAAACTGATATTGTACTATGTTAATAATATATTGTATGTATATATACCTAGTAAGCTGCTCTGAGTCCCCTTCGGGGTGAGAAGGGCGGCATATAAATGTCGTAAATAAATAAATAATGGACCAGCCCACGCCAGAGCTCCCTGTCAGCCATCACTACCCCCAGGTCCTATAAGGTCAATCCAGTCCCTTCAAGGATGCCATCCATCCATCTTGCTCTTGGTCGGCCCCTCTTCCTTTTTCCTTCCATTTTCCCCAGCATCATTGTCTTCTCTAAACTTTCCTTTCTGCTCGTGATGTAGCCAAAGGACTTCATCTTAACCTCTACTATCCTTCCCTCCTATGAGCAGTCGGGCTTGATTTCCTGAAGACTGGTTGAAACTTCTCGTGGTCCAAGGCACTCTCAGAACTTTCCTCCAGGGGACCACCAAACCCAGCATTGGCCAAGCACACGTCAAGGAACATGAAAGGCACTGCAGACTACGTCAACCAGAAAAACCAGCCATAGCAGAGCACTTGATGAACCAACCTGGACACCAAAGATTTGAGAACACAGTAATGCTGGACCACTCTGACCACCACCATGTCAGGCGACACAGCAAAGCCACCAAGATCCACAAGAAGCAGGTGGACAATTTCAAGAGAAAGGAAGAAACCATGAAAATGAGCAAAATCTGACTACCAGTCATAAAAATCCTCTAAAATCAGGACACTCAATAAAGTATACCACTCGTTAATAGGTGATTTCCAGACAGGAAACAATCAGGGCCAGCTAATCGCTGCCCAACAAAGGATTCCCCCAGGCAGTAAGAAGCCAGACCTTGAAAACTGCTAGGCCATTAAATGCTAGTTGCAGTTTTCACACTTGCCTCCAACACACAAGAGTTCTTTCTCCCACCCCGAAGGCTCTGAAACAGAGGCTGGGTGGCCATCTGTCGGGGTACTTTGATTTGTTTGCATGTAATGTTTGCAAACTGATACATTATAAATTGTATGCTGGTGCTTTTATGTTAAGCCACTGATGTTCAGGTGAGGTTTGGGAGGGAGGATGGATCACGGATGATGGTTTCTGCAGTACCTCCACCCGCTTTGACCCCTGCCCCCACAGACCACTGCAACCCCCACGAATGACAGAGCCGGACCAAACATGGCAGA